GGGGGCCCAACTGCATCCACACATGCAACTGCCACAACGGGGCCTTCTGCAGCGCCTACGACGGAGAATGCAGGTGCAGCCCCGGATGGACCGGCCTGTACTGCACCCAACGTCAGTCACACACACACACACACACACACACACAGAAAAACACATACACACATACACGCACACACACACATACACACACTCCCACTCACTCACACACACACACATACACATACACACACACACACAGGACCGGGGGAACCAGGACCAGAGGGTTCTGGGTTGGAGTCCCGGGGGAACCAGGACCAGAGGGTTCTGGGTTGGAGTCCCCGGGGGAACCAGGACCAGAGGGTTCTGGGTTGGAGTCCCGGGGGAACCAGGACCTTTCTGGGTGGTTCTGCATGTTCTCCTGTGTCTGTGGGTTCTCTCCGGGTTCTCCGGCTTCCTCCCACCCTCCAAAAACCTGCATGTTAGGTTGGTTGGACTCCAAACTGCCCTTAGTGTGAGTGTGTGTGGTTGTTGGTCCTTGTGTGTCTCTGTGTGTCCCTGTGATGGACTGGGGACCATCCAGGGTGACCCCGCCTCTCCCCATTGGCTACTGGGATAGGCTCCAGTCCCATTAGGGGATAAGGGGTTAGGATGATGGATGGATGATCCGGATAGGGGCCTTATCTGTTGACCTTTGCAGACTCAAGACTTGCTGCCACTTTCAGAGATACAAACTTTGAAAGCATAGAGGAAGTAAGTGAGAGGCTCTCTGCAGGCTGCCCGTTGGGTTTCTATGGGAGGGACTGCTCTGAGGCCTGCCGCTGTAGGAATGGAGCAGACTGTGACCACATCTCTGGGCAGTGCACGTGCCGCACCGGCTTCATGGGCCATCACTGTGAACAAAGTAAGGCCCACCTCCCTGTGTCCCCGGGTTCCTCCCTTCTCTCTGTGTTGTCCTCCTGACTCTCCACACCTGTTTGGTACTTCTCTACTTACTTCAACTCTCCTTTTACTGCGTCTTCGGCTTGTCCTACCTGATAAGCAAGTTACATTTCTGTCTGTGTTCACTTTCTTCTAGTCCTCAAACTTTAGCTGTGGTTCTCAGGGAGACCATAAAGTGGACTTAAGTGTCATCTGTCTCCGTTTCCAGAGTGTCCTCATGGTTCCTATGGATACGGCTGCCGGCAAGCCTGCGACTGCCTGAACAACTCCACCTGTGATCACATGACGGGAACCTGCTACTGCAACCCTGGATGGAAGGGAGTCCGGTGTGACCAAGGTCAGAGTATGAACACACCGACCTGAAAACTGTGTCTCCTGTTGTGGAAATTCTAATCTAAAGCCAAAGTCTGAGTCCGTGAGTAAGAAGTAGAAAATGTATTAAAAGGGAAAACTTCTTGAAGTGAGAGTAACCAGCACCATCATACACGTGGTTCATATGAGGCACCGAGCTGCTCTAAAGTAGAACCAATCATAAAGCATTTTATACCCCTGTGAGTCTGAGGTAAGGAGTAAAGTCTGTCTCCATCATAGAGAAACCTGCACCTGTACCAGACAAAACATTAAGAGATAACGTATAAGGAGACCTTCTCTGAGACCCTGAAAGAGATAAGGGTCCCATGAGAAAGAAAAAGAACCTTCAGAATATACGCTCGTGGAAACTTTCCCTAGAGAAGTGAGGAAAGTGATTATACATATATTGATTTCCCTCAGAGTGGGTGAGGTGTGTTGGGCTGAGAGAGGAGGAGGCAGAACCTCCTCTCAGGTGAGTCCCCCGGAGGTTTGAGGGACCCCTCTGCTCTGATGGAACCTTAAAGCAGAGCAGGCTGGTCTAGGTTGGAGTCCTGGGGGAACCAGGACCTTTCTGCCAGGAGATTCCTGGTTCCAGTGCCAGGGGACTGAGGGACCCCTCTGCTCTGACTGCAATTGATGGAACCTCGAAGCAGAGCCGGTCAAAGCTCTGTCAGATGGCAGTACCAGAGCATGTCCAAAAAAAGGAGACAAATCCAGAATCCTGCATGACTGTGTAAGCAGCTGGGACTTGAATCTAGATCCATTTAGAAGTAACCATGGCTAGTACAGAGTTACCTTTCAGGTTTGCTGGTTCTGCACTTATTCTGTGGAATCTCTTTCTAGAGGTTCGTCTCAGTCTTCTGTAGACTGACCCAGCTGACCAATCAGAGCCCCTCTGGACTGACCTTTCCCTCTCCCCCCACAGCTGGCGTGGTGGTGGGGAGTCTCAACAGTTTGACCAGCGCCTCCATGCACGTGGACACCTACCAGATCGGAGCCATAGCCGGGATCGTGGTGCTGGTGCTGCTGGTGCTCCTGCTGCTGCTCCTCTTCCTCGTCTACAGGAAGAAGCAGAAATGCAAAGAGTCGGCCATGCCGGCTGTGAGCTACACTCCGGCTGTGAGGGTCACGGCCGACTACGCCATGGCAGGTGCGTCCCTCTGAGATAGAACCAGCTCTGCCACAGACGGGGAATACCGGCCGGACCTGGGGTCCGGAGGGCCGGGGCCAGGATCAGGAGGCAGGGCCTCTAAGGACTGGAGCACATTTACGCTGTCTTCTTTTAGACCTTTTTAACACTAGAAAGCCCAAAGATACGAGAAGTTCCATCAGCCTCTAGTCCCCCATACAGTACCTAACAACTCAGTAATCCCGTTTCAGATGTAAATGCCCTCTTCTGGCTTCTAGTGGCTCTACATGGAAGGTTCTAGTGTCGGTGGTGGCTCCCACATACAGATGTTTGCCATGTTTGATGGAAGGGGATTGTGTGTGGATCAGATGTATCTCTACTCTGAGGATAAACCAGCTCTTCCTGTCCGGCCCTGTTCAGATGCTCACAGTCCAGCGCGAGAGGCCCAGCCCAGCAACTACTTCTCCAACCCCAGTTACCACACCCTCACCCAGTGCATCGGCCCCCCCCACCTCAACACCGTGCCCTATGGGAAGGTAAGGCCTCTTTGGACTGACCAAACACAACCAGTCTGTATTTGCATGTGTTCATGTTTGATTTTTCACATCCACATTTTTCAGACCAAGTACAACCAGCTCTTTGAGAATCTGAAGAATGTGGACCAAAGAGCCCAGCCCCTGGTCAGTGTTCCGGCCGGCACCCTGCCGGCAGACTGGAAACAAGGCGACTGCTTCAGTGAGCTGGGTGAGTGGTGGGGGTCCAGTCAGTCCAGCAGGACTCAGACCCAACAGGAGCCTGAGGG